AGCCAGAACTGTCACGCCATGTGCACATTTCAAAACTTATTTTAATACTAATAGCTTATAGTCGCTTTCTCCACAAAACGTTGTCAGTCAGTTAGTCAGTCGGTAATTTAATCAACGATTTAGTCAGTTAACTGCCCTTTCAAAGACACAAGAGTAGAGCAATTTTGCTCGCAACTACACCGCGCGCCACCAAAGTAGTTCCCTTTACTCGGTTCGGCCCCCGACAACGACCTCCAGAGATACCGAACGTCCTGTCAGCGCAGTTTCCGGAGCAGGGCACCGACGTGATCTCGATTCCCTCATGATGCAGCTTGTGTATATAAAGATGTGTTTGAATAATGATAATTTTTCTTGAATTCTTTACTTGTTGTTTTAAAACATAAACCACTTAACCCTTGACCCTTGTTGCTCGCTGGTATTTCAGAAGAAAACTCACGAACCGGCACACTACTCCGTGAGCAAGACTGACTCATGTAATAACCGCCCGTATAACTAATAATAAAAACTGTTCCTTAAGTACGTAACACCCAAAGCTGCAGGCGGCCATTAGAGTCACTGCAGAGTTGTCACGAGGGCATTATCAGCGTTATCAGCTTCATTTAGCCCAGGACTAAAACATATTGCGTCTTCACGAATATTCTATTCGGTTCAGTGACTTTCGTTTTATAGTGAGATCACACAAGCCACGTTAAAAAGACGGAAGTGGGACTATAGAGTATAGAAATGACAGGGCTCCTCCATATGTCATTTCATCCTTCACAGGACAGTATTATTCTCTCAATGGAAAAAATGTGTATGACTTGAGGTTTTCTCAGCGGTGAGTATGAAGATTTGTCTTCTGGGTTGTTGCATGAATTAATCGCCCTGATGACGGAGGCAGTATGACCTCTGAAACGTCGGTTAACATCGACCAGACTACACAGCGCAACAACCCAGAAGACGGAGATCTTCATACTCATCGCCCTGATGACGGAGGCAGTATGACCTCTGAAACGTCGGTTAACATCGACCAGACTACACAGCGCAACAACCCAGAAGACGGAGATCTTCATACTCATCGCCCTGATGACGGAGGCAGTATGACCTCTGAAACGTCGGTTAACATCGACCAGACTACACAGCGCAACAACCCAGAAGACAAAAATCTTAAAAAAATATATTCACAGAGTATATTTTAGGCTTTAAACGATACATTCCTTAAATGTTTTCAAACACTGGTGCCATAAACTTAGAATGCCTAAATTTAGAATATATCAGATTGCTAATTTTGGCCATTTTGACAAATGAATAACCCCCCCCCCCCAACGACTTCTGCGTTAAGGAATGCCAGTTTAATGCTTTATTAGATTTGACAGATAAAAGAGAATTTATTTAATTCGACATTTACTCCCACTGCAGTCATATCAATAATACTTCGGGACGAGAAAGCAGAGATTGTTTCATCGAACATAAGCCCTTGCTGTTCTGAGTAAATCAGAAGCGTGGTTTGTTGCTAGAGGAAATCACGAGGAGAAGGCACAGCAAACTGCAGTAGAACGGCGCACTTCTATCACCACTGTGAAAACATTAACTCTCCAACATTCTCCAGAACCTGGAATCAAGCCGGAACAAGGATAAGAAGAACAAACGATGGAGTTCATCCATCCTGGGCGTCACTGGACTAATCAAGACATTCCTCGCTTTTTAAGCAACCTAAAGGTTGATTATCTTGTTCACAAGAACCCGCCACTGGGCCCTATCCTGCGACAATTGAATCCAGTCCACATCCTCACATGGTCCTATTATCTCTTTAAATCCATTCTGATGTTATCCTTCCATGTAAATCTAGGTCTATCCAAGTGATATTTTCTCTTCAGAATTTAGAACTAAAATTCTGAAAGCAGTTTTCACAAAAATGAAAAGTTTAATCCCAATTATTTTGATAGTACTCTGCATATAAAATCTCTTAGATGTTCATAGGCCTATTTTATCCCGTGGTTTAATATTTATTTATTTGTACAAGGAAATGAAACTTCACGACAGGTGGTGGTGTGTGGACAAACAGTTTTAACACCGGGAAGAGCCACTCGTATCTTGAATAGCGGACTCTCTGGGCCAGATACAAGCGGTATCGAAGAGAAGATTACATTTCACATCGAGAAGCGATTCCAGAAGACAGCCATATTTGAAATAATACACTGTTCTTATGTATTACGCACAATATTGCACGTATAGTCCCAGAAAAACATCTCTGGGGCTGTAGTTTTGGTCTACTTAGAAGGGTTTACCATTAGGGTTTATAGAATAACAGTCTAGAGACAGGAAGCAAATTCTCATGTCCCACAGACGGACAAGTTCCAAAAGAATAACGAGCATACAGCTCCCTGTAACATCTTGATATTCAGCAATGACCAGGCACATCCACGTCCGCTCTGAGGGCAGCAAACTGCTGAAAATAGGAACTGTGTGCTCTTGACAGACGCAAAATCTTATCCGCCTTACCCGTACTTAATTTTCACATAATTTTTAAAATGCCTATGTTCAAGAACGTACAGGTTTTGTTGTTACTCTGTTTTGTAAACAAATGAAATATGCTGTTTAAAGGCATTACTGGGAGACTAGGCGTGGATGGGGTGACAATATTAAAAAGAATCATATATTAGAAAAATACGATGGGAGTCTGTGGACTGTTTTCACTTGGCTCAACATAATTTCTAGCGGGGAAATATTCTGAACATAGGTTCTATAAAAGGCAGGTCATCTCATGGCTAGCTGACCTACTATTAGGATCTCAAAAAGAACTGGGGTTAGTTTTGTACGGACACGGAAATTTATCTCTTATATCGAAAAACAACTGCAATGAGATTTGTGGTTCTTAAGGTCTGTGAATATGTGTACGGTGATCTTGGGGTTTGTGATGCCGTGTGGACTTGAATGTGCATACTAACGTTTTGGAGAAACGTGTAGCCTCCAAATTTAGACTACAAGAAATTACTACTCAGTAGATTACCTGAGACAATAATTGAAATATTTTATATTCAGTTCTTTAAGAATGGCTCTAACATGGCTTGTGTCAGAAATGTTCGGCTGTTCTTTCTGTCTTAACACAATATAATTATCTGAAACATAAATGAACGTTCGGGTCCCATAAAAGGCTGACAAACAGTCTACTTGAGTGACTATCAGCTTCTCAAGAATAAATAATTTATATCTTACACTGAAGAACAATGCAAATGACCAGAGCCGGCGTAGTATAATCAGTATAGTGACTGGCTAGACTGGACGACCGGGGTTCGATCCCCGACGGGGGCAGAGAATTTTTCTTCTATCCTGTAGACCGGTTCTGGGGACCACCCAGCCTCCTATAAATTGGGTACCGGGGTCCTTTCCCGGAGGTAAAGCGAGGCCGGGGAGTGACGCTGACCACTCACCCCCATCTGGTGCCGAGGTCAAGAATGATAAGGACCTATATAACCTCTCCACCCAAGCGCCTACACGGCGTGTAGTCGGACAGCTGAATTTCTGTGTTCCAAAACAGGGATCTTTCCGTAAATAACCTCAAAGTGGTAGCCAGTACGATGTTATTGCTATTTGAATACAGCTCCAAGTGTCTGAAAATAAATGAACTGTGGGTCCCATAACAGGCGGTCAAATCTTGAATACAGGGACCAACAAAATTTGGGAAATTTCTTGACCAGCTGAGAGACCCATAAAATAAATTTCTTGACATATAGGAAGAGGGGTATTTCTTGATTAAATGAGCAACTATTAGCTTATGCGGAATGGATGAAATAAAACTGCACCAGCAGTGCCTTACGCCTCTTCGTGAACGTCACGGCTTCAGCAGTAATTGTTTAAAAATCTTTGCGATTCTGCTCTGCTCCTTGCACCAGGAGGACATGCCGGGGCGAGGGTTAGGTATCTGCTTCATCTTTGCTTCATCTTACCAAATCTCAGGTTCACAAAAACGTGAGTCAGCAACAAAAAGGAAGAAACACGAAGGGTCGGATGGATGTAAAGATACAAGCGCATTATTTTATAAATATGTCAACGAGTCTGGACAAATTATTCCAAGCGCGTCGCCGCGCCTCCCTTATAATATAAGCTGTGAATATCACAAACTGAAACAAAAAGAGCGAATAAATAAAGAGGCATCAAAGCGCTCAAGATCTCACTGAATCACGCCGAAAGATAAAAGCTAAATTGTGTGGGTGGGAACAGGAATGGTACAACGGACAGAATTTTTATACGCACTCACCGACAACTTACATGCGTGCGTTTCAGCACACGAATCTTTTCATTTCACTGAGAGCAAACGTGGTGCATCTCTTACAAGGCAACTGGCACAGAAACTACATTTTAAAATAAGTGAACCCGCTGATTTTATATAGAGAGCAGCAGGAACAGTGTCCCTTGGTCCATTCTTTCCCTCACAGTTTAGTATGTATGAGGATGACAGAATACATCAGAAATAGCATGAACACCTGGTTCCAGGATAGTATAATGGACAATAAGTTACAAACTCAAAAATATAAATACGTCAAGAAAATAAAATACTAAACCTAAAAGCCCGTTCTTATTGTAGATTTGTTTAGGACAAGTTGCTGAATTAATTTCCTATAACTTTCTATGGCTGGATGGTCTCATGCGGCATATTTTCTCGCATGAAAACTTAAGCATTTTCCCGTAGACAATGTACAGAATGTAAATAACCATGTATCAAAGGGGCTTAACTGAGAAGAGAAGTTTACAAGCTGCTAGTGGCTCAGTTAACTAAGAAAATCTTTCACGCAACCCGATGGTCATCATTGTGTTCGCAGAATCCAGTCACAGGTCGCCACCGTCAGCCACATAAATCCAATCTATATCCTTTTTAAAATCAGTTTTAATATTAATATTATCCTCAAACGGTCTCTTCTTCTCAAGAATTTTCAGATTTTTACTAACTGGTTTCTAATGTGTAATAATAAAAAGAGATTGACAATATGACGGTAAAACATGAACCAGGAAGTCTACAAACGTTATTTTGACTTTTTATTTGAATGACATTCTCTTTAATCTGGCGATTTCAAGGATATAACCTTGTTGCGAACAAACCGATCCTATCAGGCACGACACAATTTTGTCAATTCTGTGTAGTCAATGCAATCATTCGAGTAACTTTTGTGTGTGCTGTACTTGCTATCTGACGTCTGCTCGTCTGTTGGTACGGACAGCAAATCCACATAGTGAAATCTCAGGTTCCAACGGCGACGGGAACGAATATGACTGTCTTCCGGGATGAGGCGATCATCGCCCTGATGATGGAGGCAGTGTGACCTCTGAAAGTCGGCAAACATGTAGCAGACTACACTACTCATACTCAAACCTCAAATCATACAATATCTCATTTGCAACCGAATGTAGGTTTTATGATTTTATTAGGCGTTCTCGTTGAAACGTCGAGCTGTTTCTAAATGTGTATGGTACATATTATGTTGCAGGGATTTGCAGTATAATTTGTAGTATTTCTGAATACAGTAGCTGTGTGGGAGACACTCGATGTAAGGATAGGATAGATGCTTATCGTACGGAGATTCTTTCTTGTGACTGCTTGGTTCCGCCACTTGGGCGCATGACATCAACGCAAGCCGAGTAGTGTCAGTTACAACTCGTGTTTACTGTAACAATTTGTTTCACTATCTTATGGCGATACTGAATGAGAGATTACGGGATTCGCAAAGTTTATACTCATAAGGAATCGTATTACTTTTTCCAGTAAAAGAATTAACTTTGGCGTTTCTAACATCAAGTTTTTTTTGTGCATTAGCCACGTATGACGTGAATGTTAATTTAAGGTGAAGGCTACCACAACGGAAATCTGATTTGTAGCAGGAAAAATATGATAACGGTAGAATTTAATAACATTACAAAATCAATAACAATAAATATAAAATAACAGGAGTAATAGAGAACCTTTTGGGACACAAGATAGTACTTCGAATATACCCAGAATAACGAATGCAAAACGTTCTGTTTATTTGGGATCTGTGAACCAATTTAAGTAAGCACCAGATAGTTCATAATCAGGAAGTTTGTATGCAACCCGGGCCTGCAGAACACGTCAAAAACGCTGCTAAGACCAAAATAAATAACATAAACTTCATGTTCAGTGCAAACTATAGGAGTAATAAGGTCAGTATCATCATCTGTGGCTCCACAACCCAGTCTTCGATGCCTCTTTTTTGGAGGTCACTTAATCTGTTTAGACATTTAGTAGGACTCCTTGAACGAGTGATCACCCCGTCGCAAGGCCTCTTATACTTGTACATAGGACAGCACAAAATAGAAAGGCACGGGCAAACATCCTTTCCTTGGGCGGGATTCGAGTCCACGGTCCCAGTGTCTAAGCACACAAGGACCAATCTTCACTGTGACCGGCAATAATATCAATCTAATTGACCAAATTCGTAATGGCAGATACAGATTTAGTGAAATAATTTGGACAGTTGTTTATTTTAGGCTTAAAATAACAAGAAACATGGTCATGCATAATAAATTCAAATACATTCGAAAAAATACAAAAATTAATATGTGTGTACGTATATATAGTTCTTAAGTTAATAAGTGTTGCTACCATTTTAAAACATTGGAAAAGTAGCTGCTTGCTTCTAGAAAACAGGAAGTTGTTTGCCACGATAAACTAACATTAAAAATAAATTTAAGAACAGTTGTAAAAGTATCTAAACAACTGTTTTCATAAAAATTGGAATAAAACGAATTCCAATAGAATTAGATGATCATAGATGTTTTAAACCTTTGATAACATCTGAAACAGAAATGTATGCTAATTATAAAAGTTATTTTAGTAATAAAAAGGGAAATTTGGTAATTGAAAATTGTTATAAATGTCTGAAAATGCTTGTCAAAAGCCTGAGCTACGTGACATAGTTTGGTCAGTCAAAAGCGTCCCATCAACCGGAAACTGAATGAAATTATCCCCTCCTCCCAAATGTAAATATTATATCCAAAAATGTTTAGGCTGTTGAATCTACAGATTTTATCCACAAAACTCTGTTTGACTTTAGAGCAGTTTTTACAGAATTTCAATAAAATATAAATTTATTATATTATTATAAAACTTCTCAAATAGTTTTTCTTAAACTTGTAAAGCCCAGTGGTAATTATACGTACCACATGTTTTAAAAATCAACCACTCTTCATTTTATATTTATGGGTTTCTTATAATTCTCACTATAAATAAGGATTATTGTCTTTGGCTTCGAAGGTTTAACATAATAAGAGTCTTTAAATGGCAGTAGAAACAAACAGGAACATTCAAATTTCTGCCAGGATCATGGGGAATGATCTGGTCCGTAGTTAAATTAAGATCAGCATCGACATTATTTGTATTGTACACGCATCATCAGCCATAATTATAAAGATTATTATACTGTAATAAAAAGTCTCTTGAAACTAGCCTCCCGTAAGAAAAATAATTGTTTTTTATGCTTAAAGTACAAATTAATGTAAATAATAATAGTGAGAGTAGTATTGGACCATAATATAATTAGTTAATATTGTAATCATATCAACAAAATTAGCAAAGAAGTGAAGTATAATGCCACTGCGGTCAGGTTTATTAAACTGACTTCAACCGAGGAAACGTGGAGGCATAAATCGCTTTTCCTTTCACTTTAGAATCAAAATTACAGTTAACCAAGAACACAACTCGTTCGTAGTCAAATCCAAGAACATTAGAAACATCAATCAACAAAACACGATTACTTGCGTGTCTATCTGGTTTAATAAAATGATTAAAATATGTTTTTAACAATTTTAGGTTTCAATTCGGAAAAGAGTGATGATTACCATAAAGTAAATTTAAAAATCCTTGCGTAAAGTGCACTTACCTTACGACAGTAACGTATCTCTTTAATAACTGGAACACAAATGCAGATCAATGGCAGCTGAACGACTTCCTCAGGTAAATGTCGCTTCTGCTGGCAGAGGTGACTAAACCTTGGAGACAAAGAGGGCAGCACCATTAAGCCATCTGTGTTCATAAACAAGTGATTGCCAACTACTACCCCATTTCCCTGGAAGAACTGACGAAAATAAAAAAATATATATACCTATGAGGTTAGCCGGTCTCCGGGCTGGAAGTTGAGCTGGGGACCTCACGAGTGGAAAGAAGCAGGGCGAACCACTCGATCGCTATAAGACACTGTTTTTTTCAGCCCCTGAGAGAGGAATAAAAGGGTTTTCAAGATGGCGAACTAAGTTACGTGTCAACAGTGTGAGCTACCAGCATCATGAATCATCAGAACGGAACTAGCAAGCAGCAGTTACTGGCGCTGAAACCACAAGGGACTGTTAATTAATGGGCTCACTGTCATCTTTCTGCTGATTCAATGAATGTTGGTTTTGAGAACACGCCTACTTATTCACTTTACAAAAGAACACAGGTTTATGTTATTGTAGTGAGAGTGAGAGAGATTCTCTTGGACCTATGTTATTGCTTGTGAATCTTTTTCTGGGTAGTACCGTCATGTGGACTTGTAGATTTCGGTGGGACATCCTACCTCCATCTTCACCTCTGAAGATGGTATCTACCTACAAGTCCACATTGCATTACTACCCAGAAGACCAACATCGATATGCTGACCGCTGTGAGGACCTATAGGACCTCAAATCATAAGTTACGAGTTCTGTGAAGCTTCGTACATTCATCATGCCACTAAAGACAATGCCACACTTTACCTTGCATGTAGATACTACCAAACTTCAACAACGCCTAAGACGTGCAACTTTATGAGGTGGGAACAGCCTTGTCGTAAATTAGGCCTACTTGGATATCCGGTTATATTGTAGGTAAAACGTATAATTTATATTCACGCAATAAACTACCGTTTATAAAGTAACAATATGGTGGGGTAGGATATGAGTCTGAAGATGGCTGCCTTCTGGGTTGTTGCGCCGTGTAGTCAGGTAGAAGTTTAACGACGTTTCAGACGTCCTTGCTGCCTCCATCATCAGGACGATGAGTGGTCTTGTGAAATTACATTTATCTCACCTTTTGACAGTGTTGAACAATGAAGAGTTGCAGGTAGGAGTGATGGTCTCACATTCTTCTTTTGCTACATATTCCGCTAAACGACACAAAGATATAGCACAAACATATTTAAAAAAATTATTTTTCCGCAAAGTGAAATCACATGCGTGGAAAAATTGCCAAAATATGAGGTAATGCCCATTAAATATCAATGATTACATTTTAAAAATTGTAGTCTGAAATCTAAAGGGAAGACATTACTTTGAAGATCTGGGGGTAAATGGGAGAATAAAATTAAAATGAATCTTACAGAAATGGGTTAAGGGTGTGAATTGGATTCATGACAGGAACCAATGGCGAGCATTTCTGAAGACGTTGACGAACCTTCTGGTTTTATAAAAAGAGAAACATTTCTTTATCAGCTAAGCAACTTTTAGTTCCTGAAGAAGGACTCTGTTCCGTGTAGTTAAAAGACCTAAGCGTAATTTGAAATCAGTCTATTAATTGATTACAGCATCAGTATATTCACAATAAATCTGCATTTGAACTTATTGTGAGTCTACTATTTACTGTTCTTTCAATAACCAATATGGAACTAGAAGTTTTCTTCGGATTCTTACGAAAATCTAAATTGTTCTTGACAATTTCATTCCATACCAAGCCGCTTCAGTACAAATGGCGGGCAACGGGGAATGTAGTTCAGTAGGCCTAGCTCTAGTAATTTTGCCGTTTCCTGAAACTCTATTTTGTTCTTTGATACCGACACCTCTTTTAAACGCTGTCGTGAAACAATCGAAGCATTACGGTGAAGTCGACTTGTCAAAGTCTTTACCTTTTTGACTTTCTTTACAGCTATGAACACTAAACATTTTGTGCTTGAATTTATATTTCTCTGAACTCCCTTTTTATGCTTTTTTTCCCTCCTGCAATATATAAGACATCCTTGGGTCAAAGTGAGTTATGTTTCGTGACCTTAGACTGGACAGCCGAAAGAGAATGCGCCCGTGTGTTGTCTTTTGTTTCTCTGTGACAGTGGAACCTTCTCTTATTTATATAGCATTTTTTGTTTGTTGTTTTACTTTGTTTTGTACCTGTTTGTAGACTAACGTTGACAGATGTCACTAGTAACTGTGTACCTCTAGTACCCAAGGGCTTGTTATATGACTTCTGTTGATTGTTGTTCATTGTAAAAAGTTTCCTCGCCCTATCAGATTACTCTGTTTTCTCACATGGAGCTATCTTAGTGGGCAATGTTATTATTTGGCTTTCAATCTTCTTACAACCTTTTTAACAATCACTTCTTTTACGATGATGTGGTATTGAATGTATTTGAAGAATTTTAATGTTGTATTAAATTTTAGATTTTGTCTATAGCAATGAACGAAGTGCTTGTCCACTTGGCACAAGTCATCATCGACGAAATGCACATATCCCACACACATTATCATCAGTAACACGGATTTTCCTGTGTTTACGATTAGGCATAGCTTCAACATGCTTCAAGAAATTGACACTCGCAACGGGTATAAGTCGTGCTTTCCAATCCCAGAAACGCTGAACTGTATAATACCGTTGCATTTATCCTATTTAGAGTAACGAGTAGTAAAGTTATAATTTGTATGAGACCAATATTAATACATTTATGTCTCATTATTTGCAACGGACCTCTCCCATACCTAGTGATAATTTGTGATAGTATTAAAGCCTTTTGTATATTTCATAGCTATTTGAAATGCATTTTTAAGACTGTAATTTACTTCTGTTTTCGCCTTTTTCCACAAATGATTCTGTGAGTGTAGAACTACTGCTGAAGTGTAATGCAGTTGAATTCTGCGTTCTTCAAACGTTACTACTGCATCAAAGTTTCCAACAGTAAGTCATAACTGTGATCGCATATAAAACTACCTTTTCATGTGGTAAGAAAGACAGAAAAGATTGGAGATCGTATCTGAGAATGTACTAAATTGTCAAATTATACTAAATTCTTGTTCCTGTACTCCAACTGCAAGACGTAACTGTTCTTTATCTTGATATAATAATCGCTTTAGGTTAAAGTGAATGAAGAATTCTAGATATGAATCTAAGACTATTCTGATCTGACGAAGTGGCTGGCATAAATAGGCCTACACCAGTGCTTTTATAGTAACTTATAAATGTGTTGTTTCACAATTCAGTAATGGCAGAGTTTTAAATTTTTAACTAATTTTTACTTTGGTAGTAACTTCAAAACATAAAGAATAATTTAACAGAAACAGAAATATATCAGTGTAAAAGACATAGTGTTAATATTTTGTTAAATTTAAATGGCATATGTTTATTTTCTCAGTCTTTAGTGGACACAGAGCTTAATTAAACTGCTATCTCAAACAGAGGTTTGTTTCATACTTGTTTTGGGGACATTAGTCATCAAATAATTTAAAAGCTATCAAATCAAGGAGAAGGCTGTTAATAGAACACGCGATGCGTACGAGAGAGAGAATCTCACTCGGGAAAGACGAAGTGAAGAGGCAATTTGGGAGACTTAGACGTAAATGGGAATGCAATATTAAATAAATATGATACGAGGTCTTTGAGTGTATTAATCTGGCACAAGATAAACAGCGTAACAAAAGTTTTGATTCCATACAAGGCAAGAAAATCCTTCACTTGTAAACCGACTAATAATTTCTCAAGAAGGACTATGGCATTAGTTAATCGGTCAGATTCATTAGTTACTCATTAACTGTTTAGACTGAATTTCCTGGTTATTTATCGCTGAAACAGTCAGTGCTAACCTTCAGTCCAAAGCCTTTATAAAGTTATTTGCATACATTCACTCAGTAGGGTTTAACTGAAGTTTACTTATCTGTGTTAGCAGTGAAGTATCGTGTGTATCTTTCTTATAATGTATCAGTGATTCAATGTCCTCATTCTTAATACCCATAACGCTTTTTCATAACGTCTGCTTTTATCTGTCATGCATTTTTGTTTTTATATAATAATTTTCTTCCACTACTAATCAAAACTTATGAAATGTATCAATGTTTCAACCTCAGAATATATTTTATACGATGTTGACTCATCAGCTCTTCACATTAACGCAAAATAGTCTTTCGCATAAAAAATAACTCACTTTAAAATCACAAAGATATTTCACAATGATTTCTTTAATCTTTCGCACTTTGGTTGTTTTAATTCAGAAAGTGCTGTAACTGTCGGTTGTTACAGGTGGTTAACAATGTTCTTCCGAAACCTTCGTAACTACTTACAAGAACCTACGACTTTGCAACCCAGAAGAATAAGACCGATTTTTTCATCGCCGAGACAACTTCAAATATCAGTTCATTATTTTAATTTTCTGTTCCTACAAAATATGTATAACAGCTGATATTTTCTGCAGTTACTCCTGTATGCTTACCCACTCGTGATAAATATTTCGTTCAATATGTTTGTCTTGTAGTCCCTCTTTAGTTCCACTTAATTGTATGGACAGGTTTGTGTCTAGAAGTTACTAGTTATATTATTACCCATGTAAAATGTGAATTAAATTCGCTGTCCTGCATTTTTATTGAATTCTTTTTTCAAATTTGTGATCATCGCGTCTATTAGTGGAATTCTACTCTTACGTTGAAATCTCTCGCTGCTGTAATATAATCGTTCCTATGAATTTTATCAGTTTTCCTCCTCGCTCCTCTTCTGGTGCACATGCCCCAGTCACGGTTAGGACAACGGTCTTCTTGGCTTTTTAGTTTGACGTTTATATCCGTTCATTAATGATGTTTCAGCTCTATCCATTTCTTCGGTCGTCTGCTCCTACTAAAGAATGTTTTTCCTACCTACGTCACAATAAAGCTTAATGAAACCATTTAACGCTTATTTTCCTCTCTTCATTCAATTATTCTGATACAGACATTCATCTCAATTTATCCCTCGATAAACAAAGTTATTTATGGCACAAAACTCTTATATTCAATGCAACGACCGTTCTGAACTGTATTTATTATTCCAAAATAATTAAAATAAGATGTCCAAATCAAATACAGTGTGTAAAAATAACGTAAAGTAATATGGAAATTAGATTTCTTACACAATAAGTTATAGTATTCTAATCTACTGTCATAGACATATTTTTAGCCTACTTACTTAAGGAAAGCAAAAATGCTTATTAGATCACCACGCTCTTTGTTAGTTGGG